CTAGCAGGAAGCTGCAGTTGCTGGTTTTTGGATAGACAAGTCAATCATTCATAAACATTTGTGCTTGTACACACTGTCAACATTTGTACGTGGGCCAGAGAAAGCACCATCCCTCTAAGCTTGGGGTAGAGGGAGGCTTTGCCGGTCTTTGATATGGTTATGCCCATGTCATCAAAACTTATTTGCTCAGGGCATCCTTGGCTCTCCACAGATGTGTTTAGATAAGATCTGAATGCTTCTGGTTTATAACCATATCACCCAAGGGTGCGTGAGAAGGTGAAAATCTTTCATGATATTTTACTTGTTATTTTCTTTTTCTTCCCTTTATAGAATTTATCATTTTTAAAGATTATAATTGTGCTGGTTCATTTTTGTCGCAAACTAGGGTCCCTCCACCAGATTGCCCAGTGAGCCATATTCTTGATTGCTAATCCTGTAGGAGAGCCCAAATACCATGAATAGTACGAACCCTGTACACTTGGGTCTGTGCTGTATAAGAAAGGCAGCTGAGCATGCAAGGAGAAGCAGCCAGTGAGCAGCATCCCTCTATGGCTTCTGCTCCAGTTCCTGCTTCCTGGCTCCTCTTTCAAGTTCCGGCCAGGGCTTCTGATATTGGATGGTAAACTGTGAGCCAAACAAACCATTCCTCCTCAAATTGATTTTTATCCTGAGGTTTATCATGCCAACAGAAAGCAAATAGAGCAGTAATTCTCTTTTTATATCTTCATGTTTGGATTCAACTATGATGTGAAGCATCCAATTAATTGCCATTTAGTAAATAAAATTAACAAATAGCATATGAAATTAGAGAAAAGTTGGAGAGAGTTAGTATTTTTAAGTCTTAGTTGGGCTATGGTCTCATAGAGATCTTACATCTGCTTGCTCCAGCGCCATCAACAACCTAATCAAGTTTCATTTCAGTAATCAATTGCTCTTTTTTCTTTATTATTCACAGTTTCTTCCCCTCATTTCAATACACCCACATTTTGAATGACTCAACGAATGACTGCTGCTACCTATGTGATGCCTAGTCATGTTCTTGCAGCAGGATTTGTCCTTCTCAACATGGCTTGTGATTTTGGAGAATGTTGCTCATTCAGTTTTGGTTTGTCTGGTGTTTCCTTATGTCCAAAGTGATGAGTCTCCTTAAGAATATGTAGAAGTGATGCGTCTATCCTAGCACCGTATCAGAAGCCTATTGTGTGGGCCTGGCAAATCTCATTGCTGACAACATTGATTTTAACCACACGGTTAGAGTGCGCTCTTGCAGGTCCTCAGTGTTTTGTTTTGTTTTTGTCATTTATGATTTCTCTTGGGAAGATATTTGAGTGTATAATGTCTCCTCTGTTATGATTCTTGCCTGTCACACTTATTGCTGTGATGTCTTCTGGATTTCTTTTCTATTCTTTAGCAGTGTTCCTAACTTGAGGTCCCTACCACTTGATATTTGCTCTGGAGAGGTCCAGCGTAGGTGAGATTTTTCACATAAGCACAGGGGCACTGTGTTTTCATTCACCACTTTCACCGTCACCACACATCCATTAGTGTGTTTGGCACATGTTTCTGGTCTCTGTATGTGTTCTCTGGATCTCGTGGATGCACGGTGGGCCGTGTCTATGAGGTGAAGGAAGGCAGAGCTGCACTTTCCCCCAGACAGACGTGTGTTGTCAGATGTTGCTTTTCCTGCCCACAGTTGGTAAACTATGAAATTTTGATTTGTGCATTTCTAATTTTTTTTTCTCAACAAACGGGAATTTTTATCTCTGTGAGGCTTTTAAAAGTCAAGTACAGTACTTCATCTTATAATAAAGGCGGATAAAGATTTAGCTTAAAAAATCTTGCTACTTGTAATAGTTTATTTTTGTGAGCTTGCGTTCTTGAGAAGCTAGGTCTCTTGTGAAAGCAAGCTTAATTGAAACCTCACCTGAGATTTGTTTTCACGACAGAGCATCCAGGCCTTCTGTCCCAATTTATTGTTTGGAGTTCTGGTATCCCAGAAACTCTGGATTAGTTTTGTCTTTACATTGTTGGAAGAGGTAAGATCCCTTATATCCTATTTCTTGGGGCCCCTGAAGTCACTTTGATTCATTCAGTAATAATAAATAAATAAATACCATGAGATGATGGTCAGTTCATAGAAGAGAATAAAAAATACCTGCAATAACGATAGATTTGAAGATTATTCATGAGCTGCGCTTGTTCTTAAAATGGGATTATTATATTTAGTCTATCATAGATACCTGAAGGAAATTAACCCTTTGTTGTACAGTGAAAATTCAACAGTTTGTTGAGAGGAAATCCTGATTAAGAGTTTCCTATTTTTTCTTTGATATTTGGAAAATAGATTTCTCTGGGTGTTGGGTGGGTATGTGGCAGGAAGTAGAATGTGGTTAGCTCTTCTTTTGTGTTAATCACTAAAGGGAAAATTAAATTTGAGTTAAAAAGGTCATTGTAAGGAAAGACTGAGATTTTCTAGTAGAGTAGTTTGGTGTGTGCACGGGAAACCACAGGAAGTTCATTGGCACTAAAGGACTGCATGAGGCAATTGACAGCAGATGTTGCAGAGGTCATATTTTTATATAGTAAATGGAGCAGCATGGACTCTTTTTTATTTTTTTATTAATATTTTTTATTTTTAAATAATTTTATACATTCACTTGTATCCTAGCTGTAGCCCTCTCTTTCCCTCCCAATCCTCCCCTCTCTCCCTTATCTCCTCCCTGCCCCCTTCCGAGTCCACTGAGAGGGGGTGTCCTTCTCTCCTTCCGTCTGGCTCTAGCTTATCAGGTATCTTCAGGATGGTTGCAATTCCTTATCTGTGGCCTAGCAAGGCTGCTCCTCCCTCAGGGGGGAGGGGAAGCTCATGAGTTCATGTCAGAAACAGTTCCTGTCCCCCTTACTAGGGAACCCACTTGGATACTGAGCTAGTATGGGCTATGTTTCAGCAGGGGTTGTAGGTTATATCCATGCATGGTCCTTGGTTGGATAAACAGTCTCATAGAAGACCCCTGTGCTCAGATATATTTGGACCTTGTGGGGCTCCCTGTCCCCTCTAGGATATACTAATTCCTCCTTCCTTCATATGATTCCCTACACTCTGCCGAAGGCTTGGTTATGGGTCTCAGCATCTGCTTTGATACATTGCTAGGTAGAGTCTTTCAGGTGCCTTCTGTGGTAGTCTACTGTCCTGTTACTTGTTTTCTCCTATTTCCAATGTCCATCCCCTTTGTCTTTCTAGGTGATGATTGATCACCTTACCCCTGGACCTCTTTCTTGTTTATCTTCTTTAGTTGCACATTTTTTTAGTATATTTATTCTATCTTATAGGGCTATATAAGTGAGTATATACCATGTGTGTCTTTTGAGCAGCGTGGACTCTTAGGGAAGAGATCTGAAGGATAAAGAGGGCCTGAACTAGGGGAGGGGTAGAAAGGGATGAGATGAGAAATATTCTGGCCAGTCATTGGTTTTTGTGGCAGAGCAGATCCAGGCTGGCCTTCAGCTTCCTTCCTCTTGCCTCAGGTTCCTTTGTTCTTGGTTCAATTAAGGATGTTAGATAATTAGAATATGGAGATAAACTGAATGTAGAAGATGAGATACAACTTACTATGAATGGTAGTACAAGATATGTTGGTCAGTTTCTGTCAACACAACAAAAACTTGATTACTCCATTGCTACAGTCACCTGGGAAGAGGGAACCACAGTTGAGGAGTTGCTCTGTAGACATTATCTTGCTTAATGATTGACGTGGGCGGGCCCAGCCCACTGCAGGCAGTACCCCCCCCCCCCCATGTAGTGGAGAAGCTGTGGAGTGGAAATCCGTGAGCAGCAGTTTTCTGTGGCTTCCTCTTTGTGCCTTGAGTATCCACCTTCCATTTTCTCACTGTCGCTTACCTGAAGTTGTAAGATGAGACAAACTTTTCTGTCTCAGTTGCTTTTGGTCACCGTGTTCATCACAGCTTGAAAATCAAACTAGGATGGAAATGAAGCAGATTTGGGGGAAATGGGATGTGCCCAGTGTTATACGGGGGAGCCTGGGGTGCGGAGGGGTCTGCTTGCCGGTGTCCATGCTGTGCAACCATGTGGGTCTGAAGCTTGGGAGAGCTGGGGATTGGAAACCTGTTAGCATAGAAAAGGTACCTGGAACCGAACAATGGTGGTTACCTGGAAGCAGCGTGAGCAGTTGTGAGTAGAAGCTGTGGGCGAGAGTGTAATTCTGGACCAACGTTTAAAGAATAGACAGGAAGGGAGAGGTTATTGTTCTAAGAGACTTCAGTGTCATGAAGCCACAGATGCCTTGAGTGGTGATGGATTCTGTCTGTGTTGATGCAGAGAAATTTGAATTACATTTTTCTCTAAAGCTGATTTTCAGGAACTTTGATGTGAATGTTGGTGCTCAAGACCTGACAGTTAAAGGAGACGCTTCATGGTTTTCTGGGCCATTATCATTTGCTAATTTTCTTAAATCCGTGGTGATACAGTACTCATCAATTCAGCCAGCCAAATGTGTAATGTTTTCAGTATGCAACTTCACACAAAAACGGAATTTGTTTTAACAACTCATTTGCAAATGCCATAGTCTTCAAGCTTTCCTACCCAGTGTTTTGGTTCTCAAAAGCCAGGCTCTGCTTCCTCCCTTTCTCTTCTCTAATTAAGGGATCTGTTTTCCTGTTTAATTATGTTACCCATTCATAGATAACTATTAGTTTTCTATTTCATTGGTTGTAATCTAAAATGTAGTGTTTTTTTTTTTTAAAAAAAAAAAAACCCTAGAGATCATCTCTGACTGTCTTCATTTAACAGATGAATAAGTAGGCACAAAGAGATAAAAATCATCTGCCTGAGAGCATATAGGCAGAGAAAACAAAATTAAGATTGAATCCACCTGTCCTGATTCTCAGTCTGTAACAGAGAGCACGTTTAGTTTCAGTGCAAGTCCCGTTAGGCCAGGCTCTACCATCCTCTCTTCTCATTTTGCCTTTGTTTTTCTTGGAAATAGTGTGCTGTTCGGGCTGCCACAGAAGGCAGGACGCTGGTTTTGGAAGGCTTGGAAAAGGCAGAGAGAAACGTGCTTCCAGTATTGAACAACTTGCTGGAGAACCGCGAGATGCAGCTGGAAGATGGCCGCTTCCTGATGTCTGCAGAGCGCTATGACAAGCTTCTCCAAGTAAGAAAAGGAAAGCCCGCTTGCTGCTGGCTTTGCCTCCAGAGTCCGGCTGTGACTTAGGACAGTGCTCAGGCGGCCCTTCTTTTTGGCAAAGTGCCTGAGTAAATCACAAGTTTATGCAGTTTTAAAAGACCTCCTGATTACTAGGGTTTCCCTTTTTCTTTGCTCACTGTAAGAGCTATTCTCCTCTTACCCGTGTTTCTCCTTTCTTCCTTCTTTCTTTTAACAGCTCTAAAGGCAGTGACTTTAGACACAACTGAATAAAGTCCAGCTCTTAAACTCAGAAAATGCAGGGACTGACAGATGTGAATAGGATGTTAAAAAGACACTCTGGGGCTGGAGAGATGGCTCAGTGGTTAAGAGCAGGTCCTGCTTTTCCAGAGGATCTCAGTTTGACTCACAGCATCCACTTGACAGCTCACAACTGTCTTTAACTCCATTCAGTCTCAAGAGATCTGATGTTCTCTTCTGGCTTCATATGTTCACCAAGTGCACATATGGAGCACAGACAAACTTGCAGGGAAAACCGTCACACTCATAAAATAAAAAATAAATATGTAAGAAATAAACGATGATCTAAGCTACCAGCGTTTCCTGCCTGCCACCAAAGTTAACTCTGTGTCCATCCCTGCTCTCCACCTCATCCTCAACTCCCTAGTCAGTGATTGATTTAAAATGGGTCCCATACCTGTGATCCCAGCGTTTTGGCAGTTGAGGCAGGAGAGTCAGAAGCTCAAGGCTATTCTTCAATACCTAGTGAGCTGTAGGTCCATAGGGCTACTTATGACCTTGTTGCAAAAAAAAACAAAACAACCCCCCAACTCAACCAAAACAAAATAAATAAACATGAATCAGCCCGTGCTCTGACCCCAGTAGCTTTCTGTTTCAGAGCAGAGCTAGGGTTCTTCCAGTGCTACAGGAGACCCACAGAATCAGGCCCTTATCACCTCTTGCCTCAGGCCTATCTGTCTGCCTCCTTTTTGACTCTTCTCTAGCCAACTAGGCACTCTTAGGCTATACCTGCTTAGTAGGCTTCTCCCTGCTCTAGACTTTCCACTAGTATTTTTTTTGGCCCAGGTATTTGCTTGGCTCATTCCTACAGCCCCTTCAAGTCTTTGTATAAATGTTACATTATCGATGAAACTTACCTTGATGCTCTCACTAACTTGCAGTGTGTCCTCTAGGTCCATAGCCTCAGGATGCTTCAGTTTTTCCTGTGCTGTCTTCTAAAACTGTATATGGCTTACTTATGGTTTTGTTTAACTGTCTACTCCCTCTATTAGTATACAGATTTTAAGTGGGCAGGGATTTTTTCACACTCTTTGAAGAATGTTAGGCATTCTTTGTTGAATGAATAGTAAATGCGATAAATGATGTGACATAAATATGTACAAAGAGGGCAACACTTACAGACAGTTGTGAGCCATCACAGCATCATCATGCTGGGAATTAAAGTGGGATTCTCTGAGAAGGCATCCCCTACTCTACCTAGCCAAGGAGGGCTCCTCAGAGGCTTTAGCAGTGAGGCAAGAAATGATGAGAAGGTTCACCCTTGGTCATTGAGCTTGAGCTGCACTGGATCTCGCTGTAGCTGCTGCAGCCAATTCTTATACATCAATACTCTGGAACTTGAAAAACTTGTATCTTTCTCATACTTTTATTTACAGATACACATATGCTAATCTGCTACAAATTGCTCAAGGGAAGCATCATATACTGCTTACTGTATGAGTGCATGCATGCATGCATTCATGTGTGTGAATGTAGGCATATACATGCTGCGGTGCATGTATGGAGGTCAGAGATCAACCTTGGGGGTTTGTTGGTCCTCGCCTTCCATGTCAGTTGAGAAAGGATCTTTACAAAGAATAGCTTCATATGCCAGGCTAGTAACCTTGGCAGCCTCTAGGGACTGAAGGCGCTCCCATCTCCCTGAAGGCGCTCTGGGGTTACAGATGCTAAATGTCTGGTTTTCACATGGGTTCTGGAGATTCAAACCCAGGTCCTCAAACACTTCAAATAGTTTCATCCACTGAGCCATCTCTCTAGTCCTATGTCTTATACTTCTTGATCTCGCTCTGACACTGCTAACGTAGGCCTAGAGCACACTGGGTACTAGATAATAGATGTTGATGTGGGAGGGTCTCTAGTTGAACTGATGCTCTAATTCCTTTACTGGCAGTCTGTTTTCCCGTAACCTACCTTGCAATGTCTATTGAAGTGTCTACATGGTGCTGTTCTAGCTCAGTAGTCATTTTCTTCTAGATAACTGTAAAAATGATCACATCCTACCATAATTAAATGATTGTGGATTTAATCAATAAAAAGTTAAATTTATATCAAGTTATTACAGTTTATTTAGTGAAATAAAGGTAAACTTTTTAGTTTGTCTTTAAGAAAAAGTGGATATCATGTAGAATACTTTTCTTTTAGCCACTTTCCAGTTGTAACTTTACACAACTACAGATTATATTACTTACATACCAGTTTTAGTTAATGATTTAAAAAATTACTAAAGCACAGAATTATTTTTAAAGCATGTGCATTACTTTATAACAACAGCTTGATATATTTGTTATTCTTATAGTAGAATTCTGTACAGTTACTGCATATAGTATTGCTTTGCATAGAAATGCAGAACGTGAGAGATACAAGGGTGTGCTTATCGTTAAATGGGAAGGATATGATCTTCATTTTTTTTTCCCCAAGTAGATGCTAACATAAGCACATACTTGTCATTCTGAGTTCTCAGGACCTCATGAATATAGACATGTGTAGGAATATATCCCTTCTAACACTTGTATCTTAGGGCACTTCCTATGGTATAAAAAAAATTCTAATTACTGAAACTGAAGCCCCACTTTCTTTTTGCTAGGTTCAATCACTAAATTTTCATGTCTCAGGAAACTTGTGGCTGGAGAGGTGGCTCAGTGGATAAGAGGGCTTGCTCTGCACATGAAGTTCAAATCCCCAGCACCCACAGAAAACTTGATCATGGCTGCGTGCACCTGTAACTCAAGCATGTGATCACAGAGCTCCCTGGCCAGGCAGCCTGCCAAAAGACTGAGCTTCTGAGTCACCAAGATATCCTGTCTCACAGCAATAAAGTGGAAGTGAGGGAGGAAAGTGGCAGGTGCTCTTTTCTCACTTCTCCTTCCATGCACCTGTGTGCAGGTGTTATCCAACTGTGGGTCACCACCTGTGCCCCAAGTCCCAATAAGCCACTCAAAAGAACCAAAGAGTGGAACCAGAAAAGGTGCTTTATTCATGTGGCTGCATTGGGAAGAGGGACAAACAGCCCCCCGAAACCCTTCTTCATTTTTGAGGTCCTGAGATGAGCTCTGAGTTTAGATAGAGGGCCAAGGATTGAGTCCATCTGAGCAGTCCTGTCAAGGTGTCGTCCTACCCACCATTGTCCACGGCCTCATGCTGTAAGGTGGTCTGACAAGTTGTTAGAATGGTTTGAAATCCCTTCCATGGAGACAGTTTACCTCTCAGGCTGGTGAAACTTTACATCTCCCAGCCTGAGATCCCTGCTGAAGTTATTATTATTATTTTTTAAAGATGTATGTATGAACATATACTTTGTTTTCATGCACACCAGAAGAGGGAATCAGATTCCATTACAAATGGTTGAGAGCCACCATGTGGTTGCTGGGGATTGAACTCAGGACCTCTGGAGCAGCACTCAGTGCTCTGAACTGCTGAGCCATCTCTCTAGCCCCTGCTGAAATGATTTGTTTTGGGGTCCCTTGTTTCAGTAATATGTTTGGCAGGTTGAAAGATCCAAGTGTCTTCTTAGACTGTCCTAGTTTAGTGATGCATGTACCCTCAAACTCACACTACATGTGCCACACATCTCCATCTCTCTTACGTCTCTATCTCTGCCTCTCACTCTCTTACTGGCTTCATTTAGATGATGCTAGTAGAGTTTTATTATTATAGAAATAACTAGTTCGTATAAACTTCATGTTTGATTATCTGTGTTTTGAGGATTTCAGACAAGTATGGATCCAAACATTTGCTTTCTAGTGTATGTGGCCTAGTGTCTTGGGGCTACTGTAGTAATGTATGATTTGTGATTTCAATTATGAATTATTTTAAAATTTATTCATGCAATCAGTCAATAGACCTTTTCCTTATGTACTGGAAAGGTAAGTCCTTTAGAGCTTGCGGTTAGCATGAAACAATCTTTTAAGAGGTAAAGGCACAAGTACAGAATGGTAAAGCTTGCAAAAGGGCCCCTAATGAGCAGGGGTCAGAAAAGATCCCATTTTTACGAAGTTGTTCTGTTGTGCCTGGAAAGTTTGTGCTTATCCTGTGCAAATGGAAGGCCATACCACTGCAGATGCATCTTTGTTGGTAATGCATGCTGTTTTTGCAGAACTGCAGTTGTCAGATAGATTGAAGCCACCGGCTCATAGAAGGTGGGGGCTGCTGAGACTGGGAGAATCAGATGCAAATGGTGACAAAGAAGGTGTTGAATATCACGTTAAATATTTCTGCATTCTTATATTGCTGTACCCTCAGAAGATCCACTCTAAGCTGTGGACTTTAATCCTTAAAAGAGCAGGTCTCAACCTTCCGAATGCTGTAACCCTTTAATACAGTTCCTTATGTTGTAGTGACCTCCAACCATAAAATTATTTTCTTGTTACCTCATAACTGTGGTTCTGCTACTGCTGTGAATTGTAATGTAATTATCTATGTTTTCTGATGGTCTTAGGCGACTGTGTGATTCAATATCCCCAAAGGGGTCATGACTCACAGGTTGAGAACTACTGTCTTTACACACACACACACACACACACACACACACACACACACACACTATAAAGTGCATATATATGTGCACATTTATGTGGTTTACCACCAAGAGTCTTTGTATGGTTGATGAACCATTGGTAGAGTTAGATAGGAAAAAAGGCACATTTACCAGATATGTGCCTGGTGGATCTATGTGGACATTCACATGCATTCTCATATTTGGTTTTTGTGGCACTGAGAATCATGCAGGTTATATGACTTGTCACATTATATATGAGAGAATTGAGGCTCCTAGGGTAGTGTTTTAGCTAGAACTTGTATCAGCTGGCTGAGTCAGGGTCTATTATGACTCCAATTTTAGCCTGTTGCTGCTCTCTTAGCTCTGTCTTACACAGGACCATGGGTATGTCCCTGAACTCCTTTGACCTCTATCTTGTTCATTCATATAGTACTGTCTGATTGTGGCTAATTATATGAGAAATTTGTAGAATGTGGATGTGAAGTTCTGGAAAGTAAAATGAGAAAATTGAGTTTTTAAAAAAACTGATATTATTAGCCATTTGCCTATAGAAATATACCTCTAAGTGTAGTCTGTGTTTAATGACTCTGGGGAGCCTGACTCTGGTGATAGTCTGTGAGTCTGTTCCAACTCCTGCTTTTTGATAATAATCTGCCCTTGGCCCTCTCCTTCCACATTATGGACTAGAGTGTGGCAGTCTGTCTTAGGCTTTTTTGTTCCTGAGTGTGTGGGCTATGCTTCCTTCCTAACACAAGTCTTCAGACTGTGAGCTTTTCTTGGCCTCTGGAGCCTCATTTATTTTGCTACGTTCCTCAATGTCTTGATTTTGAGAGAGTTCTTAAATAGTCTCAGCAGTCAGAGTATGATTCCTCCCTGGCAGCTCTTGCCTTTGAAGTCTGTGTCACTTGCTCTGGCAGCTGTAGTCTGCATCACTTATGCTGTATGCTGTAGTGTTTTGATCTCCTGCTTTCCTAGGATCACACTAAAGAGGAGTTGGATGCTTGGAAGATTGTCCGAGTTAGTGAAAATTTCCGAGTGATTGCCTTGGGCTTGCCAGTGCCCAGGTACTCTGGGAATCCATTAGATCCTCCTCTCCGTTCTCGATTTCAAGCCAGAGATATTTATTTTCTACCCTTCCAGGTAAGTGTGTCAAAGCCATAGTCCTTGAAATGGTTTCTACCTATAACAAGACATTAAATTCTATATCAATGTTAGTATGTTTTTATTTTTAATTTTGTATATATGAACGTTTTGCCTACATGTATGTCTGTGTGCTTAGTATCTGTGGAGGCCAGAAGAAAGCATCATCTGATCCCCCAGAACTGGAATTATAGACAGTTGTGAGCTACAGTGTTGGTGCTGGGAATTGAACTTGGGTCCTCCGGAAGAGCAGCTGGTGCTCTTAACTGTAGATCTCTCTCCTGCCCCCTGACTGTTTTTAAAGGCTGCCTTTGCCTTTATAAATAGAGTGTATCATGAAATGCTGTAAATTGCAGTGTCTACTTAATTAAAAGTTTGGTTGATACTCATAAAACATTTCTGTTTCATCTGTTGTTTTCATTATTAATAGGTTGTATATGTTTCTGTTATTTAGGACCAACTAAAACTATTATATTCAGTTGGAGCCAATGTTTCTGCTGAGAAGTAAGTATACTTTATAAATATTGGATGATTAAACATTTAATTTGTTTAAAAATTAAATTTGTTGTTGTTAAACTACAAGATTGTTTAATAGTTTAATTTGTTGAATCTTTATGGAAGCTTCACAAAGGCAGGCATATTGAAATGAATCCAAAAGTATGAGCATGCCTTTTCCAGGCAGAGAGTGAAGCAAGGATCCTCAGGATTGCAGCAGTAGAGAAGGAGCTTGTACTGTTTCCTAAGCGCCTAGACTGCTTTCAGCTCTGAGACTTTAGGTTTGAGCTTTAGGAAAGGGATGAGACTCACTGGATAAAGTTGGACCAGGTTCTGAAGACCTTACACACTGTGATAGATTAGAGGAAATGTCTAGATCGCTCATCAGCTTCTGAATCTTTAATGTATGATTAATTTATTGGCATGAACCATTGTTCTTTAAGAATTCATAGTATATTTTATCTTTCTTAGGCTAAAGAAATCAGCCCGACTGTTTTATACTTAACATACATTATATATGTTAAATTTAGTCAAGTAAAATTTAAAATCTGTTTCCCTCTAGGGTTTCTCAGCTCTTGTCCTTTGCTACAACTCTCTGCTCCCAAGAATCCTCTACACTTGGACTTCCAGACTTTCCCTTAGATAGTTTACCAGCGGCAGTTCAAATCCTGGTAAGCATAAAATAAATGAATGGTGGATACGAATACCCAGATGTGGCAAAGACGAATTCAGAGTTCATCATTGGATATTAGTCACTAGAGCTGTCTTGTCATTCTTCTATAAAAGGCCTGATGGATGTGTGCACTGGAACAAACTACAGAGACCAGTGACATGCTCAGTCTTTGGGGGCTTGCAGCTTTGAAGGGTGAGATAGGAAAGCAGCCACCTGGAGGAAAGGAAGCTTCAGGCCGATCCAATAAAAGATGCACTGTACGGAAATAGATGCAGAGCTGACCCAGCCTGAGGCAGAGGTGCTGCAGTTTCCCACCTGAGCACCTAGTCCTCATTGGTTAGTGGTTACCCTAAAGGACTAGGTTCCCAGGTACTGGCAGGTCTCCACACTTATGAAGAAAGATGGCTGCAGGAGCCTAACGGCAGCCTGTATCCACAAGAGTGCTAGTAACTGTGGGAAGGGGAGGACGCTGGGCCACATGTAGAGAGCATATGAGCAGATCTGAATACATTTGCGGGGAATGCAGTTACTTTCCCATGTGATGTCCTTTCTAGAGTGACGGGAGAGCTGTCAGGGCAGAGGGCACATACACGATGTTCAGCCACAGATGGGCCTGGAATGTTTGCAGAACGAGAACAAGTCGTATCCTTAGAACTAAGTGTTTGTGGTAGAGACAGAGGTTAGAACCCAGCCATGAGTTACTTTGTTGATGAGTAAGGCTGCCTGGATTTTTATGATGAGGGAGGAATGGCCCACCAGAGGTTGTGAAGTAGGTGGAGGGTGAAGTGATCATTTTTATGTTAGATGAAGATGCCCTTGTCAGGAGCTAGGAGAGTAGGGAGAGCCTGGTTGCATGGCAATGAATGGGAGGAGGCTGTTGAAACAGTGAGACTCTGCCAAGGAAGGCATCATCAGAAAGAAGACTCTTAGTTTTAAACATTTATTGCTTTCCTCCAGTGTTTCTAGTTAGTGTAGTCAGATAGCTTTCTTGCATAATGTTTACATTATTGTATATATCTGGAATACTTCTTGTTTACTAAATTCTGTATATCTCTTAATTTTTCCTCTGTAATTTTTAATTTAAAAATTCTCTAATCTGAAAAAAAAGGTTAAAAATAGGAAAACACGCACAATGTCTTCAGTAAGAAGCCCCCGTGTTAACGTAATGCCACCCCTGCTTGCACATGTACCCCTCTACCCCCAGTTTTTTCTGAGCTACTTGAAGGTAAACGCAACACTTTTTAAAAGTGCAAGTCTCTGAAGAAAGAATTAGAGGAAGATATGAGAAGATGGAAAGATCTCCCATGCTCATGGCTTGGCAGGATCAACATAGTAAAAATAGCCATCTTACCAAAAGCCATCTACAGATTTAATGCAATTCCCATCAAATTGCCAACACAATTCTTTACAGACCTGGAAAGAAAAATTATCAACTTCATATGGAATAACAAGAAACCGAGAATATAACAATCCTCTACAATAAAAGATCTTCTGGAGGTATCTCCATCCCTGATCTCAAGCTGTACTATAGAGCAACAGTTATACAAACTGCATGGTACTGGCATAGAAACAGAATGGTGGGTCAATGGAATCGAACAGAAGACCCAGAAATAAACCCACACACTTACGGACACCTGATTTTTGACAAAGATGCCAAAACCATACAATGGAAAAAAGATAGCATCTTCAACAAATGGTGCTGGTCTAACTGGATGTCTACATGTAGAAAAACGAAAATAGATCCATACTTATCACCCTGCACAAAACTGAAGTCCAAGTGGATCAAAGACCTCAACATAAAACCAGACACATTAAATCGGCTAGAAAAAAAAGTGGGGAATACCCTAGAACTCATTGGTACAGGAGAAAACTTCCTGAACAGAACACCAACAGCACAGGCTCTAAGAGCAACAATCAATAAATGGGACCTCATGAAATTGAAAAGCTTCTGTAAAGCAAAGGACACCGTCATCAAAACAAAGCGACTGCCTACAGATTGGGAAAGAATCATCACCAACCCTTTATCTGACAGAGGACTCATATCCAATATATATAAAGAACTAAACAAGCTGAAAAGCAATAAACCAAGTAATCCACTTAAAAAATGGGGAACAGAGCTAAAGAGAGAATTCTCTGTAGAGGAATATCGAATGGCAGAGAAGCACTTAAAGAAGTGCTCAACCTCATTAGCCATTAGGGAAATGCAAATCAAAACAACCCTGAGATTTCACCTTACACCCATCAGAATGGCCAAGATGAAAAACTCAAGGACAACACATGCTGGAGAGGTTGTGGAGAAAGGGGAACCCTTCTCCACTGCTGGTGGGAATGTAAACTGGTACAACCACTCTGGAAATCAATCTGGCGCTTTCTCAGACAACTAGGAATAGCGCTTCCTCAAGATCCAGCCATACCACTCCTAGGCATATACCCAAAAGAGGCTCAAGTACACAAAAAGGACATTTGCTCAACCATGTTTGTAGCAGCTTTATTTGTAATAGCCAGAAGGTGGAAACAGCCCAGATGCCCCTCAACTGAAGAATGGATGCAGAAATTGTGGTACATCTATACAATGGAGTATTACTCAGCAATGAAAAATAAGGAAATCATGAAATTTGTAGGTAAATGGTGGGACCTGGAAAGGATCATCCTGAGTGAGTTGCCTCAGAAGCAAAAAGACACACATGGTATATACTCACTCATATAAACATACAACATAGAATAAACCCACTAAAATCTGTACATCTAAACAACCTAAGCAAAAGAGAGGACCCTAACTAAAATGTTCAATCCCCATCCTGAAAGGCAAAGAGGATGGACATCAGAAGAAAAAGAAAATAGGAAACAACCTCGGAAGCTGCTACAGAGGACCTCTGAAAGCCAGAAAAAAACAGGAAACAACCTTGGAACCTGCCACAGAGGGCCTCTGAAAGCCTCTGCAGTATAGACTGTCAAAGCAGATGCTGAGCCTGATGGCCAACTGATGGGCAGAGTGAATGGAATTTTATGTAAGAAGTGGGAAATAGTAAGAGCTGGAGGGGACGGGAACTCCACAAGGAGAGCAACAGAACAAGATAATTTGAACACAGGGAACTTCCCAGAGACTCATACTCCAACCAAGGACTATTCGTGGAGATAACCTAGAACCCCTGCACAGATGTAGCCCATGGCAGTTCAGTGTCCAAGTGGGTTACATAGTAATGGGAAGAGGGATTGCCTCTGAGATAATCTGATTGGCCTGCTCTTTGATCACCTCCCCCTGAGGGGGGAGCAGCCTTACCAGGCCACAGTAGAGGACAATGCAGCCACTTTTGATGAGAACTGATAGACTAAGATCAGAAAGGAGAGGAGAACCTCCCCTATCAGTGGACTTGGGGAGTGGCATGCATGCAGAAAGGGGAGGGAGGGTGGGATTGGGATCAGGAGGGGAGGAGGGAGGGGCTTATGGCGGGATACAAAATGAATAAAGTGTAATTTATAAAAAATTAATTAAAATTAAAAATTTTTAATTAAAAAATTAATTTAAAAAAAAAGTGCAACTACTAAGAATTGGAGCACCCTGTCTGTCCTGAGCACTGTTACCACACTCCGTAATGTGTTCACAGCAATTCAGTTAAATTGTCTAATAGGCCAGATGGGGATCTTCTGTTTGCTCTTGGGAGTAGCTCTTCGAATGGTTTGAACATTAAGTTCGATGTGATTTGGGTGAAGAATTTGAGGGTAATGAACACTTTCTAACTTTGCAATTAAAATTGTGAGACTTGATGGATATAGATGAGATTAACTCAGTTTAGGAATAAAGGATGGAAGTGTGGTGCTTTGGGTGACTCGAGTGGGGAAATGTGTCATATCTGTATACTTCAGGGTCATGTAATAGAAAACCGAGGACTTTGATAGATAAAGATGCATAGGGGCCAGCAATATAGATGAAAGATGGGAGTAAGTGCTGTTGGTCAGGGATGTGGTATAGAGTAGGAAGAAAAGAAGAAATCTGTCTTTTTACATTGCTGGAAGATTTTTTTTACGCTTTGGGAAAATAAAGCTTTACCCACATTAAGATACATTTTCTGTGATTGAGATGTTGCTGACCTCTTGTATGTCTGCTTCTAAATAGGATTCCTTTCCTATGATGTCAATTGAACATGCCATCCAGTGGGTGTACCCTTACACTATTTTACTAGGACACGAAGGGAAGATGGCTGTGGAAGGTGTTTTAAAAGTAAGTGTCTGGTTTCCCTTCTTTACCATCTTCATTTCACTTTTCTTTCCACCTTTCCATTTTTCCTGTTTCCCTCTCTCTTATTTTTCTTTACTTATCTTTTTTTCTTCCTTTGTCTTCCCTTATGTCCTCTTCCAAGATAGGAAGCATTCAGTGAAGGTTACAAGAAAGCAATGGTGGGAAACAAGGCTTCAGGTGTGGGCATGGCTGGGATATTTGTTATATGGGCAAATAAAGAAATACAACTGAACAAAAAAATGAATATATTGATTGTAGTGGGAGTTATGCATCTCACTATGATTATGAACATGCAAGGGGAACATATGAACCCTGAGGTACTGGATTGGAAAAATGGAGATATGATTATGAACCATGTTTCTTTCATTGCATGTATATCAGCATTGTCTTTTTTTTTTGAGAAGGTATGAGCAAATGTCTTCTTGCCCCAGATAGAGCACAAACAGCATACTAAAGAACTGATTCCAAACCAAGTCTAGCTTGCTGAACCAGGGAGTTTAATCTAGGTTACTTACTGGAGAATTTACAGTTGGCCACACTGTGTACTCAGGCGTGGGTCCTGTGGGTCTAGTGCAGGGCCTTGTGAGCATCTCATGCACTGCTTTGTGAGTGAGATGCCTATACACTGCCCTGTGAACCTGCATTCACGAGGCAATGTTAATGAGAATTCTTATGAAAGTCTCATGTTGGTCAAAACAGCCACTCTGATTTCAGTATGGCAGTGGCTATATCAGGCTGGAAGATAACATTATGCAACATGTATGAAACATTTTTTTTGTGTGTGTGTATGTGTGTATATACACATATTTTCTAGCTCTGTAGCCTAACAGAGCCTAGAAACCATGATCACACCATGTGCCTGGATGTCTAAATCCATGTCCACTAATTTCTGAGAATTAGGGCTGAGCAGGAAATTGGACCAAGAAACAGAAGAGACTTTCAATAAATGATGTTGGCACATTAAAACCACAGAAGACAGGGACTATTTCTGACATGAACTCAATGGCAGGCTCTTTTACCTCTTCCCCTCTCCCCACCCCCGAGGGAGGAGCAGCCCTGCTAGGCCACAGAGGAGGACTTTGCAGCCAGTCCTGAAGATAACTGATGAAACAGGATCAGATGAAAGGGGAGGAGGTCCTCCCCTATCATTGAACTTGGAAAGGGACAGGGTGGAGATGAGGGAGGGGAGGTTGGAATTGGGAAGGAATGAGGGAGCAGGCTACAGCTGTGATACAAAGTTAATAAACTGTAACTAATAATAAAAATTATAAAGAAAGAAAAAAAAACACAGAAGAGCTTGCTGATTTGAGCTTAAAAATAAACAGCAATTGATGATAATCCACTGTATGAAATAGGGATCCATAAGTTTATACTGATTGAGAAAAAATTTTAAACATGTAGAACCAGGAACTCTACATGTTAATGTAGAAAGTTTACCAACAAATATAAAAGAAACCATATAAATTGAAAAATTACTGCTGGTGTGGTGGCACACGCCTGTAATCCCAGCAAGTGGATCTCTAAATTCAAAGCCAGCCTGATCTACAAAGTGAGTCCAGGATAGCCAAGGCTACACAGAGAAACCTTGTCTTGAAAAACAAAATAAAAAACAAAACAAATTACTACTAGTCTGTTGTTAGATTGATGATTGACTTAGAAAGGTATAAAGCTGGGATGTGTGTGCATGTCTCTGTATGTATATGTGTACTTTCATAACTGGATATTAATGTCATCTCTGAATATCTCCTTGCAAAATACTCAATTGACTTGAAAATAGGAAAGTGAAATTTTTATAGTCACCATCAACATGACCAGGCAGAACCAACTGGCACGGGCATTGTGTGCCTCTCGAGTATTGTGCTAGGAGGAGAGCATCATTCATCAGCAATCCTGCTGAGAGTTGATACAAGTTGGAATAAGAAGAAAACAGTATAGTCCTGGGTCAGGGGACACTTTATAGAAGAAAGGCAGGTCAAAAAGACAACTGAAAAACTGCCCTAGGTTGAAGGAGACTGAAGAGGGACAGTAGCTAAATGCAGTGTTTTTTTTGTCACATAGAAAAAAGTGATGTTGGGGACACAGTTGAGAATACTGGTTATGAACTGGATAACAAGGTTGTATGAAATTGGTATTTGGCAATTTAGGCAGTGATTAAATTTGCCTCGGGTTCTTGTTTTCAAGGGAATGGTGAACTGTTAGGTTTAAGAATACAGACTATCATATCTCCAGCTTGCTCTCAAATTGTTGAGGGAAAAAAGTCAGTTGAATGTATGTATGCATGTATTAGAGTAGTAGGGAGGCCACAATATGCTAGAATGGTATTAAGGAATTTGGGTGAAGTGAAATAGACTTTTTGCTGCAATTGTGTACTGTGATTTTTCTATGTTTGAATTTACTTCAAATTAAAAAAATTTAAAATATATAGCATTTGAAAATTTAAGAATAAATATGTAATAAGAAGTTAAAATATACAACTTATTCATATCCTGGAAAGCATTTACACAATTATGAAGAATTTTGAAATAGTCTTTAATATCTTGTTTTATCTTTGGCATAGCGTTGCCATTTAAGTTTGTTTTTATTTTTTCTGAATTGCTAATAATACTTGGGACATGCTTTTCTTTTAAAATATTTATAGCATATTTTCTCATTATATGGTTAGCAATGGTGAGTTCTGAAGGCCAAAGATACCCTGTGATGTTTTGTTGGTATATATTTGTGTGTTGATCTTCAATAGAAACTTACTGACTTACTGAGTAGCCCCTCTTAGGAAGGATGGTTTTTCCTTCTCTTGCACAGTCTGGCTAAAGATGTAGACTTTTCTATAATAGTTAAAATGTGAATACTGTGTGGGACCTCCATTTTCTGGAGGCCAGGATTTGACAGCCTTGAGGACTTAGCAACACTAGTATGTGCTGCTCCTTTATTCTCTGTTCTTTATCTACTAATAGTGACAACTCCCAGGTGTGCATCCTTTTGTGGTTCACTGTGAGTTTTATGACAGTAGCTGTTCAAAGAACCCAAAGAAGTATCATTTTCACTTACCAATGATAGCAGTAATAATAGTAAAATTAGAAGCTCAGTTATTTCTTATGAGTAATGAGTAGTGTAGCTATGGCTAGAACATTTATTTATTTATTTATTTATTTATTTATTTATTTATTTATTTATT